ACCAAACTTTTGAGCCTTTGAGCCGCCGTGTTTCCTGCCAGGTAAATGACGCTCCGCAACATGGTGATTCCCTTATCGATTCCAGCGACTGGAATCGATAAGGGAAACAGTGGGAACCGGTTCTCAACAGGAACCGGTTTTCGATACCCATCCCTAATTCCCATACATTTAAATTCACCAACTGAAAATAACTGCCAACAGCTTTCAGTTGGACTGAAGTAAATACTGACGACATGACTGCCAGGTCAGTTGTGAACAGGATCTATCGGGTTGTAAGGAGGGCAAATCAGAAGCATGAAAAGTCCTGTTACATTGGTACACTTAATAAAAACACCGGTTCACTTTTAGCCCTGACTATGGCACACAGTTTTGCCTCTTTCATCTCTTTGTATGTCACATCTCCTGGTGATTTATACAACAGCAGCACTGCCTCTCGTGCGTTTGTGTTTAGGCTCACAGTTTGATGTTTGAAGGTTCGCAGGGACGTAAAACAATAACTCCCCTCAAATGTGTTAAACCGAAAGTAACAAGCCTGTTTTAAAATGTAAGGAGTAGAAAGTACATATATTTGTTTAAACATGTAGTAAAAGTAAAATACTCAAGTACAGACAGTAACAAAGTATTTGTACTTTGTTACCTCCCACCTCTGGTCACCACAAAAAAGACAGAATCCCACTGTCACAGTGACCTGAGTTGGGCTGCCCTGCAAAACTAAAGTTAAAAGAATAATGTGAAGTTAGTCAGATGTTCAGATATTTCTCCTTATCTGTTCCACTCACCTCTGCCCTGCTTTTCTCCTCTCTATATATTTTCTTCCTCCTTTGTTACTCACAGAGATCCACTTCAGCTGCTGTCGTGTTTAGATTTGTTTAAACAAAGTCAAACATGCCACTTACAAAGGGAGAGGGTGGAGTCAGGGACATACTGCACCTGGCCTGAGGTTTCCTGGTACCAAGCTACATCTCTGCTAGAAGCTCCCTAGATCATTACAGCTGGCAGGTACCACCTTAAATAAAGTTCTGCACCCTTCAATGCGCGAGACTGCCCAAGTAACGAGCAGCACGAGGCAGATACGAGATTACTCTATGACCCCTCGTGTGTTAGTCTGGAACGGAGGGTCGAGGCAAAGCAGCAGGTGATGTTAGTGTGACACAACTACATCATAAATGTACTGTTAGATGCTAAACGTTAAACATTTCAATTAAATTGAATGTGCTAGATGTGAGAAACTGTCTGGAACAAAAATGAGAAAAACCGGACAAGCTGTTTGAGGAGTTCTGCTCTAACACTGCATGCAGAGTGTGAACAGCTGGAGCTTCGTCTTATTATTTCTGCACAAGAAGACCTTTAAAACTTGTTTAACCTCCTAGGACCTGGCGTCCACATATGTGGACATCACATTTTGGGTTGTCTAGACCAAAATACTAAATCTTGCTCTACAAGAGCCTGATATCCACTTACGAGGACGTTATACAGCTACTGTTCTATCGAAATTTAAAATGAATGTCCTCATATGTGGACCTCGTTTTTATCAGAAACAAAAATCAGGTAAAGAAAATCTGGTAATCTGGTTCTTTGTTTTTACATTCATCAGGTCCCAGTCAGTCCAAATAGCAAAGAGAAATTAAAAGTGCATGCCATGAAAGAGTTCGGGTCTTAAGAGGTTAAGTGTACACTTTCCAACGAAAATAAATCTGACAACAAGTTGCAATCAGACAAAATCAGAACATTTAATCAGAAAAAATGCATTAAAGAAAGACTGGCTTTGATTTTCAGGCTGAAGTAGATGCCTTCATATGGATGCATTACAGCTGTGTAAGAATTTGTATTAAAAATATGATTTTAATGATTTATATGCTCCCGAGTAGCTTCATCTGTGTTATTCTAGTGATAATATCGCTAAGATTTAATTTAAAGTCTTCAAAATCATAAGAAGTAAAGAACCAAATATTTTAAGCCAAAATACATAAAGTACCATAGTACTGAAATATTTAAACTGCATAAAATGTCAGCCATGAAGTACCTTGATACATTTAAGTTTCATATAATGACTGGTCCTCTCCATGCTCTCAGCTGCTTCTCAGGAGGCAGTACAAATATACACATATTCAGCATAAAACCATTGATCACGTTTTTCTTCAGAGATGGATTATTTTTATTTTTATTCTCAAGTTCCAGATTTGACTTTTTATTCCAATGGATACGTTCCCAACACCAGGTGATGTAGTCACAGGAATCCCTGAGCTTCCAGGACTGATGATGATTATGAATATTCTGCTCAAACCAGAATATAAACCAAAAAAAATAATTTGCAAGAAACACAGAAAGAAAGAATAACTGACATCACATAATCAGAAATGATTACGTTAAATGACAGATTTAAGGAATCATATTAAAAATATTCAGTTAAAAAACAACTTTTGTAAAAATAGATGAATCATGTGGCTGCAGCCCAGCCTGAACAGTGGACACCATCTTTGCTTCTATCTGATGGATTTCATTTTCATGATCTTGTTTTCTTTGATTGCCAAATCTGCTGAGAAAGGACATTTTATCCAGCAGCCTGTCCTCAAAGCTGCCCCCAGGCTGACATCCAACGCTCCAGCCAGCAGGGACGAAGCCACCTCAAACTGCTGCACCTTATTTGTATGGCTGAGCTCCGCCTCCAGCTCAGTCTGCGTCGCGCTGGCTCTTATGATCCCGATAATCTCGATGGTGACGCTCTGGACTGCAGCACTCTGAACCTGCACACAAATATCAGGACAGGCTGAGAATCTCATAAACAGCTAAAAAGCTAAACAGGTCGACAGGTAGCCCGACATTTAGAACCACAGAGCGCTCACAAGGCATCGATGATTCAGAAAAACCTCAAACTGTGATAAAGACCAGGACCAGATTCTTCCTGAGTGTTGCTTTTAAGTAAATGACAGCGAAATATGACTGACTGCCTTCAGTGAGTCTAATCCTGCTGATGACCTGCTGGTTAGGAGAAAATAAACTTTTAGAATAAGAGCGTGGGGGGTTAAGCAGTGTTATACAGAGCTGAGAGAGTTATCAAAGATACCTGTGTTACTGCAGTCTGTGTGTCATACGCTGCCCAGATTAAAATCAGCAGCTACCTTTTGGATTTTAGTAGAATCTGTTGAGTTCAGCAATACTGAATCCCAGAAGTGATTGGTCTTTACTTTGGTCACCCTGGCAATGTCTCCACATGATCTCCAAAAGTTGATTCTGTTCATCTGGACGTAGGTTTCCAATCTTATAAACAGTACATTTGCATAATGTGCTGCATAAAGGGCTCTGTAACCGGGGGGGAGGCTGTTACATCTTTGCAGGAGGTCTCCTCTCTACAGGAGCTCACCCTGCAGGTGGGGGAGAGATATTGGAGAGGTGGAGAATGACTCAACCAGGGTGTCTATTGTCTTGTGTAGTCTGGGAGAAGATTGGATGATGGGGTGGGTGCAGTTTT